ATCGAGATCTGATGGCAGCATTTCCACTTTCCCAAAAAAGAGAGTCTCAGTAAGCCTCAGAGCGATACCTCGCCCAATGCATCCCAAGACCGCATTGGCTTTTTTCACCGCCACGTCACATTGTCGACTCATAGTCATCCTGCGGTCTACCAGGACTCCAAGGTCTTTCTCCTCCTCCGTTACTTCTAACCGATGCGTCCCCAGCTTGTAACTAAAATTGTTGTTAGTCATCCCTAAGTGCATCACCTTACACTTTTCACTATTAAATTTCATCCTATTTTTGTTACTCCAATTTACAAGGTCATTCAAGTCTCCCTGCAGAATATCCCGATCCTTCTCCGAATTGGCAATACCTCCCAACTTTGTGTCATCCACAAACTTTATCAGCCCACTCCTACAATTGGTTCCGAGGTTAGTAATAAATAGATTAAATAAATGCTGTCCCGAACTACGCAGGTGTGGAGGAAAGAGAAGTAGTGCTTTGCTGAACTCACACTTTGTAGTTGCTGCAATTGTGTATAAAATGAAATCAGTGTTGAATGTGAGACAGTTGCAGAAAAATAACTATTTTCTAATAGAAACCCACCCCTGGTAACTTAGTGAGACTTGGATTCAGGCCTGTAATCTAGTTCCTAATTTAGATCTGTGACACCATCTTAAAGAAATTAATTGGGCATGTTTGAGAGGCCATTCCTCACTAAAAGTATTCAGATTTTGGGTGGTCTGGTAAAGGATTCTACCACAGAGAAGTGTAAATTTACCCTGACCCAGGTGAAGGATTTGCAAGACTCGGGTAGAAATAACAGGCATGCACTTGTTCATTTTCACCCCAGAGAAGAAGTTTTGGTGCATTAGGACCCAGGTAAAACTGTTTTTGGAACACCACTGTCTAGTACAGTGGCACTGATTACAGCCCCAAAGGATGCCAGGGTTAGATTGGGAACAATTGTCCTCTAACATTTGGATCCAAAGTTCCACGAGGCAAAGTGAGAAAGTTGATGCCTTCAAAGGACATTCCTTTCCCATGGATCCCAGTCTGGTTGCCTTGTCGGACAACAAGGACTTTCGTGCTGTGGAAGGGATGGTAACCAATGAAGGAATGAATGGGTCTGGCCCAGAGTTCAGACTACAGCATTTACAGATCTTGTCCCCTGATTCTATGCTTTTGTCTCTTAGTTTTGCTCTTGTGTCCTATGCTTTTGGACCACTTCTCCTCCACCTCCTGCTACTTCGGAAGATTACAAAGTGTGGAAAAAAAGTACAGGTGTTTTTTATCATTATGCAAACCTGCCCTCCTAGGAGACCCTTTCTACCAACACTTATGGCAGAAGACCCAGAGATAAATGAACTATCAGAAGTGGAATGCACCTATATTGGGGTAAACCATAATGGCTCACTTAGTTTCCTTTGAAATCCCAGTTGAGACCAACACATATCATAGAATCATAGAAGATTAGGTTTGGAAGAGATCTCAGGAGGTCATCTAATCCAACCCCCTGCTCAAAGCAGGACCAACCCCAACTAAATCATCCCAGCCAGGGCTTTGTCAAGCTAGGCCTCAAAAACCGCTAAGGATGAAGATTCCACCACCTCCCTAGGTAACCCATTCCAGTGCTTCACCACCCTCCTAGTGAAATAGTGTTTCCTAATGTCCAGCCTAGACCTCCCCCACTGCAACTTGAAACCCTTGCTCCTTGTTCTGTCATCTGCCACCACTGAGAACAGCCAAGCTCCATCCTCTTTGGAATCTCCCTTCAGGTAGTTGCCGGCTGCTATCAAATCCCCCCTCATTCTTCTCTTCTGCAGACTAAATAAGCCCAGTTCCTTCAGCCTCTCCTCATAAGTCATGTGCTCCAGTCCCCTCATCATTTTCATTGCCCTCCGCTGGACTCTCTCCAATTTGTCCACATCCTTTCTGTAGTGGGGGGCCCAAAACTGGATGCAATACTCCAGATGTGGCCTCACCAGTGCTGAATAGAGGGGACTAATCACTTCCCTTGATCTGCTGGCAACGCTCCAACTCATGCAGCCCAATATGCTGTTAGCCTTCTTGGCAACAAGGGCACACTGTTGACTCATATCCACCTTCTCTACCACTGTAATCCCCAGGTCCTTTTCTGCAGAACTGCTGCTTAGCGAGTCGGTTCCCAGCCTGTAGCAGTTCATGGGATTCTTCCGTCCTAAGTGCAGGACTCTGCACTTGTCTATGTTGAACTTCATCAGATTACTTTTGGCCCAATCCTCCAATTTGTCTAGGTCACTATGGATCCTATCCCTCCCCTCTAGCGTATCTACCTCTCCCCCCAGCTTAGTATCATCTGCGAACTTGCTACTGGTGCCATCCCATCATCCAGATCATTAATGAAGATGTTGAACAAAACCGGCCCAAGGACTGACCTCTGGGGCACTTTGCTTGATACCACCTGCCAACTAGACGTGGAGCCATTGATCACTACCCATTGAGCCTGACTATCTAGCCAGCTTTCTATTCACCTTATAGTCCATTCATCCAATCCATACTTTTTTAACTTGCTGCCAAGAATACTGTGGGAGACCGTATCAAAAGGTTTGCTAAAGTCAAGGTATATCACATCCACCACTTTCCTCATATCCACAGAGCCAGTTATCTCATCGTATAAGATTTTGCAATCTTTAGGTGTGTCACTGGTACCAATGAAAAAGAAATTAAACATGAATTTATTGGTTAAAGAGTAAGACGCTAGTGATGTGATAGCCTGAATTATATTGGAAAACTGAAGTATATGTTGTTGTTTTTTCCTTTGTTACTAAAATAGGCAATGGTGGTTAATCCTGAAAAGTTTATTTGCGATAATTTATCCCCCTTGGACAAAGGAGTTCTGACATCAAACCTTACTCCAAAGCTTGGGGTGGGGAAATATGTTAATGAAGTAATGGAACTGAGAATACAAACTCCATAGAGAATTTAATTATTTGTATTTCAGATGGAATTCATTTGGATAAGGGCTAAAGTAAATATCTGTAAAGAGGAAAACAACTTAAGGACACAATTTGTGTGACCTTTTCCCTAGTTAGATTTTAAGGATCATGGAGTTCCCACCTTCTCTTGTTTGCAAAGGAAAGACGTGAGATGTGTCATGAGATACACACACTTATTAATAAGGATTGTGATGGATGCATGACACAGTGAGTATTTTATCTTTTAAAAATTCCTGCAACCCATTTTTTTTTTTTTTGGTGCTGAGATTCCTTTTCCTTTTGAGGATGATAGCTCTTAGAGGAAGGGTATTTAACCCTTAGGCCAGGTTATGGAATCAACTCAAAACACACATTGTTTTTCTTTTTCTTTTCTCTTTCTTTCTTTTTTTGTTTAATGTATCTTTGGGGTTCGCACATCCACAATTGATGTTTTTCCAACAACTGCTATTTTAGGAAAACTGCTGAGTTAAAGGAGACTTTTCCAAACTGACAGCCCAAAGTCTGCCTCATTCCAACAGGACTGATGTTAGTTCTTGTTATTGATAGTCATACCATCAATTCTGTATTTTTATATATTCTCTTCAACAAAGAGTATGTCTGAATTCGAAGCCCCAGAACACAGGTCTTGACCAATGTGTAACCCTATTCAGGAATTTATTCATCATGCTGTATTTAATAACTCTAGGGTGCCTTCATGTCTGTAAAACTCTTGATATTCTTGGAAACCATCTCCTTAACATATATATAAAATGCTAACATAGGCATATATAGATTAGGGACACTAATAAGAGATTATTATTATAGCAGATGTTTTCTGTTGGGGAAATCAACATGGAAGAATGATTGTGGGGTAAGAAAGACCCACTGAGAGAGATTAACTTGAAGAATTGTTAGTCCTCTCAGCTGTAAATAATCATGCCTTCTCCCATGAGTCGGGTAAACTGAGAATGGACAGAAATGACACCAGAACATATGTT